TATGAGAATGATAGAAAATTGTGTAGACAATTTTTGAAAACATCTTTCTGCCCTAATTATTGAGTGTGGCCGAAATTTCTCATAGGGAAAAGAGAGGAAAATTTTTTCTCCAAAAAAATTTCACATCGTGCATGCGTTGGTGTTTGTGGAAATTCGAGTGTTATTGAAACCTGTTTTGTCTTACGTGTGCCCACACACACGTCTACGTGGAATCAAGGAATTGATGTAGAAGACTTCGGTTTTCTAAACACAAAGCTTGGAGCAAGGATTGTTTGAGGTCAAAGAATTCAAGTTATCGACCTAATCGGTGCTAGGTATTATTCTTAATTGACTTCTTAATATATGAATTAATGAGATTAATCGAATAAATTAATATAATCTATAGAGTATCTCAAAGGTTTTATGAAAATCTTTGTTATACACGATCCGCCCTACCGCCACGTTTCCGCATCCGAATTCGATTCGGTAACCAATAATACTTAGCTCATTTCCTAACTTCTACTACTTTTGAACTATAAACTCCTAAATTTTAGGCTAAGTTTTTCTTTTCCTGCGCGGACATAAATTTAAATTATTATTTACATACCATTGTCATGCATATGCAGTTTGTATAATAGCATCATGAGTACATGAATAGACTTTATGACTTAAGGTTGCTAAGCATAGCCTCATAGTCACGTGATCTTTACTTACTTTACATAATCCATTCATGTCCATACATATTAATTACATTAAGTGTTTAGCAGCGATTTCAAAATCCATAGTGCCTCCATTATCCACTTGCCCACATCCCACTGCTACATCATTTTCTGCACGCCCAGCATACAAGTTTCAGGGAGCCGGTACCTTACCCGATCTTCCTACAACATGAACAAACTTAATGAGCTTTCGCTTAGCAAGTAACAACAGTTCACAAAAATTGCAAACAGTAATGCATACCCATATATGCATTCATGTGATACATCCTAACATATTTTCTAAACTTTTAGAACGTTTATCGTATTATGCTTTCTTGTCTTTCATTTCATATTTCCTTACAATTGTCGTTATTGTGTCGTTCGTTTTTCTAAATTTTCTGAACGTTTATCATATTGTATTTTCATTTCTTTCATTTCGTACTTCTTGATGAGTTTTGTTCTTTTATTTAGAACGTTTATCGTATAGTACTTTCTTTTCTTCCATTTCATAATTCATTCAACTTTTATTCTTGTGTCGTTCTTATTATTTTCTAACATTCTGAATGACTTTCGTATTGTGTTTTCATAGCTTTTACTTCTTGTAGGCCCCGTCCCGTTGTACCGTTGCGTAAATACCTAATGAGGAGTGGAGGAGCTACACAAAATAATCAACTCACTCATGGTTTTATAATAACCACCCTTGCGGAGGCCGGTATAAACAGTTTTAGTTTTTTCCTTTCTTTTATCATCATTTCTTTATACATCGTCTTACTGTCATCTTTTCTTATTAGGACAGTAATTTTAATCTTGTTTTGCGTCTTTACGCATTTCTATCAATTTTCTATCTAAACATCATGCTCCAAACTCGTGCATATTTGACCAATAATTACCATCTTGGACATGTTTCGGAAATTAGCCTGAAACTAGCGTGTAAAGTTATTTTTTAGAAAAACGCTACACAAAAGTTGTTCAGAACGAAATTTCCTTCAACTTAGTGTTGGTCAACTTTTGAAACTTAGCTTTTATCTTGGTTTGCTAGCCCATAATAGCACCGGATTCCAATTTTCGGGTTAATAACCTATTTTTCAGTTTTGGTCTAAGACTTGAGAATTTTCATCGTTTTAGGTTTCCACACATCTTCGATCACCCAATCAACTTATTTTTCACACCTTATTCCTCTTATTCTTTAGTCCAACCGAAATTAGTTCATAACCCTAAACTAAATTTCGGCGGCGTTCCGCATGATTTTTCGTGTTTCCCGAGCCATCCATAGCTCGTTTTATCCGTTGTTTTAATCGTTCAAATACATATCACAACCTTTCTCATTCTTTTTATCATCATAAACATCATAAGCTCTAGGGTTTCACCACTATTGTCACAAGATTTCTCCCTAAACAAAATGCTAAAAATATAAGTCAATAACCGAAAATTTATTCTTTAAACATCAAGTTTTTCAGTACCATTCATAATCATAAGCAAATCATCATTCTTAGCAAATTCTTTTCCATAATCTCTATTGTTCATAGACGTGCAACCAAGGTGAAGAATGAGGAGAAAAATTAAAATTTTACCTTAAAAAGAAGTTTAAAAAATATTGGGCTAAATTATCAATGTTGTATGGTTTCGGTGTTATCTTTGATCCTAGATTAAAATTAGAAGGTTTAGAAAGTGGATTAAAAAACTTAGGTGACTTTTTAGATATCGATTGTTCTGACCAATTTCCTATTATAAAGGAAAAAATATTATCTATCTATAGCTTTTATGAAAGTAGGTTTAGAAACACACCTCGTTCTTGAATGTTTTTGAGTTGAAGAAAAAGAAGAAGAAGAAGAAGAAGACGATGACGACTCCGACTCAAGGTCAAGGAAAATCTGGGAGTAGATATTCATCAAGAGGTGGCCGCAACAGCGGCGGCTTCAACGAGTTAATGGCGTACCTGAGTGATGGCTTAGTAATCGACAATAGTGAAATGTTTTATTTGGTTCAGTGGTGGAGGGCACGAGCATTAAGTTGGCCGATCCTAACTCGACTGGCAATTGATATTTTTTCGATCCCAGTCTCCACTAGTTCATCTGAACAAGCCTTCAGTACGACTGGCCGAATACTTGAGGAACGTAGAAACGCATTGCAACAGGATATTGTTGAAGCTTTGGTGTGCATTCAGGATTGGGATCGTTCCGACCAACATTTACAGGATACAATTTCACCGACAAGCCAAGAATGGATCGATGAATTTAATAGATTAACTTTTAATTTTGAAGACGATCCTTTAGCTTCAAATTAAATTCTATTATTGTAATTTATAAATATTTATTTACTTAGTACAGTGTTATTGTAATCTTGTATAGACTTTGTAAGTTCGTCAAATTTGTAATTCATCCCAGAATGATTGCACTCTTTTTTCCTTACCAAGTTTTTATCCCAATTGGGTTTTTCTTGGTAAGATTTTTAACGAGACAATTATGAATTACAAATTTAAAAATTAATAAATAAATAATTTTTTATATAGTTCGTGTGCATTTCAAATTTTAAATTGTAATCTCCCTAATAATTTTTGTATAATGTTTGCAATAAATAACTTAAAAATTATTTATATACATACCAATACCATATACAATTAATAAACAAAATTATTTATAATAGTATATAAATATATAAAAAATATTAAAAAATTATGTCGGGCACTCGGGCGGTTCAGGCTGCCCAACCGGGCTCAAGCAGCCAAAACTTGCCCGAAGCCCGTCCAAAGGCTTACTTGGGTCAGGTTGAGCAGCCTAAAAATTCGGGCTCAGACAGGTTCAATCATCGGGTAAAAATTTAAAATTTTCGGTGGTCACGGGTGGCCCGTCCAAAGTTTCAGCACTAATCACTATCATCATAATTAATTTCAAAAATAAAATAGCATGAAAAACATATGCAGCTACAAAAGTAGGGATGGGTATTAGTTAATTAATTAAGGCCTTGTTTTTACCTATTCGAACTGAGATGTGATTTTACGTTAAAATTTTTAACTGTAAAAAAAAAAGTTAGATGTGACTTTTTGTGAGAACTTTTAACTGTAGCAAAACTTGAATTGAAAACTCGAATTGTTCGTTATTATAATTAATCATTTCTAGGCCTTATTATATATTTTAATCTTACCATACAGAACCCACATCGGTCAAGTATAGCGTGCTCAGTATGTTTTCCAGTTAATCATCACTATCATCATATTTAATATTAAAAATAAAATAGTATGAAAAACATGCAGCTACAAAAGTACGGATGGGTATTAGTTAATTGATTGATTATACACATACAATTGCTATCTCTCTTGTTAAGTAGGTTAATTATCTATTTATCTGCGTATAGATTCTCGAGCTTTCCTTAATTTAATTATTTATAGATATAAGCAAAGAGAAAAAGTGAAATAAACCTCTTATACTGAAATTTTGTGATGGCTTTGCTATCTCTTTTCTTGGTTTTCTCTATTCTGGCCCCATATATACCCAGAAGGTGTAAGATTTTCCACTTTACGACTTTCACGTCTTATTTATTTGCTTTTGATATGTATCATAAATGATCTATAATTACATGATGGTAGAGGTATCAAACTTCCAAGAGATTTAATTATCAGAGTGAAATTATTATAGTACTCCTCTAATTTAATTTAATTTTAGTCACCATTCTAATTTAATTAAATTTTAGTCACCCTTCTAATTTAATTTAATTTTAATCACCATTCTAATTTAATTTAATTTTAATCACCATTATTAACAAGTCCCGCTTTAGTTTTACCATGTGTTATGAAACTTGTTTTATTCTTTCTTTTTTTCGTGGCGAGTATTCTTTTTCTTACATATAAAATAAAGAGTCAGATTGACTTGAGTCTTGACCTTGAAACAAGAAAACAAGAAATATTGAATAGAATAATATTGCTAATTTATTTTGCTCTATTAAGTTACATGTATACTTGATAGAATACAGTAACAAACCTTTGTTTTTATAAAATACATATTGCACACATATATGGATAGATCATCACAACATTACTAATAAAGCTTCTAGGGCCCACCAGGGAAAAGCAAGTCTATCAGTTATTCATATTGAAAATAACATTACTAATAGTAATGGTAATTAGTTACGACTCAAACTGTATAATAAAGCTTTCATATTTGGCAACGCTTAGAGCCCTACTAGTGCTAACCAACACAACTAATTATAAAAAGTAGGTCTCATCTATTGGCCTCATGTTGAGAGTCACCTGACTAATTTAAAATTTGTTGTGTTGTTTAGTATATAGTAGTGTCCCAAGTACTTTTTTTATTTATATATATTATTATTTTACGGAAAAACTTCGATGAGAGATCTAACACCCAAAATAGGAGTTATCTTATAAGTGCTAAACCCTGCATCAAAAAAGAGCTTAGCCCACTCTGTCTCTTTCCTCTCTCGGCCAGAGAGTAACACCATCATCAACATATCAAAGAAGAGTTGAGTTTCGTACGACTGATGATCATGATCATGAGCATGATGATCATGACCAATGTCCTTGTTGTTTTGCTCCTCCACAATGACCATGTCTACTAAAATCACTTTCCCATTTTTGTTGCCTTTGCATGTAATTGCCACTTTGCATCGCTCCAGTAATTTTACACAGTCTTCGTCACTCCAGTCGTGTAATATCCACTATTTTGTTAAACAGATAGTCAGATTAATATTATTTTGTGGTTGTAAATAAAAACACACAAATACATGAGCATCTGTTAGATATAGTACCAAACAAGGCTTTCATATAAGTATACTTTTATATAGGACTCTTGCAAACACATCTATATAATTTCAATGCATAAAAATCCAACAAATTTAGTTGGCCAGCCCTAGCCTAGGCTTAATTTATTGTTAGGTAGTTTTAGAATTATGATTCATACTGTTGAAGTAAAGAGAATTGAGCAATACTAAAAGGTACCAATATTATTGAGCGTCATATATTAATTAATAGAGAGTGAAACATACAACATGAGACCTAAATATAGAGCGTACTTTATATATATATATATATATATATTTTAAGTGAGAGCCTACTAATTTATATTGGTGATGTTGCTCAACTCCTATGTGAACCTAAGCAATTTTCAGACACAAGAATAATTAATTACCGTCTTAAAAGCCTAATATTAATTGTTGTATATATGAATGTTAAAGAGTTATATGAGAATATTGAGAATATATGTATATATATATATATATATTTCTTACCTTCACGAAAATTGCATCTGCTGGAGGAATTTCATCAAACATGTCCCCACCAACAAATTTCAAGTTCTTACTTCCCTGCAAATCAGCAATAACATGGGGTAGATCAAACACAGTGCATGCTAAATGAGGAAATGCATATGCAATGGCCTTGGCCACCGTCCCAGTGCCTCCTGCAAGATCAACCAAGGATTCCAATCCCTCGAACATGGATTTGCACTTCTCGATCACCACGCTCGTGACCAATCGCGCGTCACTAGCCATGGCCTCATTGAACAAATTTCCCAGCCTGGGATCATACTCATTGTAGTCCCAAAATTCCTTCCCATGTGTTGTGGCAAATGGAGTAGGATCATCACTTTGGAGCCAAGTGCTAATAGAATGCCAAGGCTTAGTCATAATAGGGTCAAGCATAGACAACAAGAAGGGTGTGACACTCAAGGGATTGTCCCTAAGAAGTAATTTGGAAGCATTTGTGAGGACATAACCTTCTTCTAATAGGTTGGTTTCCCCAACGACGACTTCTTCGAGAGCAAAGAAGCCGGAGTTGACCAAGATGCGCATGAGGCGGTAGATCAAACGAGAATCAGGCCTTTTATTTTGGTGGATTGGCAAGGAGGATATGAGTTGTGAAAGAATCATGGGCTTGCCATGACTATAAATGGCATCTGGTATACCTAATTGAATGGCACATTTGAGGGACATGGAGTTTATGAAGTTGAAGATTTGGTTCCAAATGTGGGCTTGAGATTTAACTAGCTCAGTGGCATTTATTTCAAGATCATGCCCAGAGCTTCTCACTACTTTCTCCATGTTATTGTTGGTGTTCTTTGGTATTATTTTGAGTTATGTATATCTTGAGCTGTGAATATGTAATGTAAATATATAGAGAGAGATTTTCGTGTGTGTGACATTGAGCTAGGCAACTATTATTGCCCAGATACATTTTTTTTTTTTTTTTTTAATGAAGAAGGGCCTAGGTACATGTTTCACGTTATAAATGTTAGTGATTAAAATATTGAACTCTACAGACCTTAATCTTATCTAGCTATCTATTGAATCTTTAAAAAACAAAAATCAACTGGCAATAAAGAATTACCAGCCTACCAAATTTCATAGTTTTCTATATATATTTTGTATAACGCTGCATATTTAACACATGTATAATTTTTTTTTTTTGAAATGAACACAAGTATAATTTAACACATATATATAATTTAACCAAGAATTTAAGTGCAGGCTGCCAACGCATTCACACTTGCCCCTTCAAACTGCACCTAATTCCTAAGATCCGAAACAAACCAACAACTAGCCATAAAAGTATAAGGATCATATTTAACTTTAGTATAAACGCATTTTTGAGTCGTCACAAATAATCATATTTCTCACGTTTAGTTTTTGGTGAAATCTTAAAAAGATTATATGCGACGACAAAGAGAAAATTATCGTCGCAAATAACCTCAAATTATTTACGACGACAAATATCGTCGCAAATATCATATTATTTGCGACGCCTTTTCGTCGTAAAAAATGTATCACCTTGGCGGCAAAAATACACGCCATTGAAATTTGCACTCCAAAATTATTTGCGACGACATTTAAGTTATTAGCGACGACATGGTTATTTTATTTAACGGGAAGTAATTGCAACGACGTGTCGTCGCAAATATTTATTATTTGCGACAACAAATATCGTCGCAAATGGCCTTTATTGTTGTAGTAAGTATGTTTTTTCAAGATGTTGAATATACCTTATTGTTGACGGTGATTTCTCGTCAACAAAAACCGGCCGGGTTACCTCTTGGTTTCCCTTTGGATTACCGGCCTATGTGTTGAATATGTGTGAAAATTTATTGTTCGGGGTGTATGGTGTGTATAGTTTGAGATGTGCACAAATAAAGGAGACAAGAAGTTTTATAGTGGTTTACTCTGTAAAATTAGAGCTACATCCACTGTGGTTGTATATTTCTTTTTGAGGGGATTACAATTTACATCAATTGCTATCTCTCACTCTCTTTTTTCTCTTCTTGGATCTCCACCCCCTCCTCGTAGGGGGTCTCCCTTCTTTTATACTGGGCTTCCTTCACTGGGTGGGTTTCCCTCGTAGGCAGAAGCACTCAAGTGCTCTCCCTTTTTAGGCCCAGACGTAGCCCACTAATCAGCACTGTTCACTCAGCCAATTAGTCTTCTATTACGGCTCTGTGCGTCCCTGTAACACTCTTCTGTCCCCTGTGGGGCGGTTTAAGAGCTCGCAATTAATGCCTGCAGACGTCCCCCACTTTTGTACGCAACTTGCCACGTCCTCCAGAGAACGTTCCCTTCATCGCCAGCGATGCTTAGCCCAATCGTCCTTCTTGGTGGTCGATTCTGCGGTCGAGGGATCTTAGTGCCTTAAGCTCGACAGCACGATCTGTCGATGCTAGAAGGAATCGTCGCCCTAAGTTGGACTTCGTGCTTGGGCTCTTTAGAGCTATAGACGTCGAAGGTTGTTGCTTGGCGGGGAGTAGTTAAGGCCACATATCGCATTATCGTTCGTCCAGGTGTCCGTCACATTTTTCCGCACAACACTTATTAATAAGATTAATGTGTGAACATATCATGAGCTGATTTAATAATTAAAGTTTCAATGTTTAAATTAGGAATAAGTAAAGTGAAATATATTATAAAATATTTCCACTAGAAAAAGTAGTAGTCGTCACAACTTAATCGTTATGACTAAAAGTGAGAAAGTTATTGGTAAACACAATTATTTTCTAACCACGTACTCCCGTCATAAACCAATGAAAACAAAAAGTTGAAAAAACTTTTTAATAGTAGACAATAGTTTTATTTTGGTGACAATAAGTACTCCCAGTGCTCATCCTAAAAAAAGTTACCTATGGTCACAAAAAGTTCACCAATATATAGATAATGCTCACAATTAAAAAAATATTATTAGTGGAAAATTATGGTAAAGTTGGGATTATCATTTAATTACAAAAAAGTTTTGTTATGGATATAAAGTTGTCATTAGTTAATAATAAACTATAAGGGTAAGAATGAAAGAAGATAAGAGAGAATGAAAAACTATAAAGGTTAGTAATTATAAGCTATAGAGGAAAGAAAAGATTTTAGTTTTCTCATGAGTTATTTGATATGATATGAAGGAAAGAAAATAAATTTACCATCTCTTATTTGATATTGAAAGTGAAATCAAAAGGATAGAAAAACTATTATGGAACAATATAATTGTATTAGTTTGGATGAAAAGAAACTAATTCTTCCTATCAAATATCTCGACTTATAAATTTCCATCCTATACCTCTCCAATGTTTTATTTTCTTCCACCTTTTATTCATACCAAACAGACCATAGGTACCCCGTTTTATTTTCTTTTTCTTTTTCTTTTTTGTTTTGCAATATATAATGTTGATGGTCAAATTTTGCCAACAAAAATCGGCCGGATTACCTCTTGGTTTCCCTTTGGATTACCGGCCTGTGTGTAGTGAACGTGTGAAGATTAGTTGAATATGTGTGTTTGTGTGTTAACCAAATCATGCATAGATAAACAACACAAGGAATTTTATAGTGGTTCGCTCTATATAATGAGAGCTACATCCACTGTGATTTTATATTTATTTTGAGAAAGTAACAATTTACAACAATTGCTCTTATTCAATCTTTTTTTCTCTTTGTTGGAATCTCTCAACCCCTGCCTTACTTGGGGTCTTCCTCCTTTTATACTGGGCTTCCTTCGCTTAGGGGGTTTCCTTCCTAGGTGGAAGCACTCAAGTGCTCTTCCTTTGTAGGTCCAGACGTAGCCCACTAATCAGCACTGTTCACTCAGCAAATTAGTCTTCTATTACGGCTCTGTGCTTCTCCGTAATACTTTTCTGTCCCCTGTGTGGGGCTGTTTAAGAGCTTGCAATTAATGCCTGCAGACGTCTTCCACTTTTGCACGCAACCCGTCACGTCTTCTAAAGAACGTTCCCCTCGTCGTCAGCGCTGCTTGGCCCAATCGCCCTATTTGGGTCCTTTCTGCGGTCGAGGGATCTTCGTGTCTACGGCGCGATCTGTCGACGCCATAAGGGATCGTCGTCCTAATTTGGACTTCGCGCTTTGGGCTTTCCAGCGGAATAGGAGGGGTCCGTAGACGTCGAGGGTTTTTGCTTGGTGGGGAGTAGTCAAGGCCACGTGTCGCATTTCTGTTCGTCCATGTGTCTGTCACATTTTCCCACACAACAGCTACCCCCCAGGTCGAGGGTTCCTTTCAGGCGGTCTCGGACTTAGGTTCGGTTGTCCTTCCGTGCTTTGGGTGTGGGAAACCGGTCCCGAGCCTTCGTTCGCAATGATGGCCTGGGCGCTTCGGATTTCCTTCGGGGGACGCAACCGTCGCGTCGATTGATTCCCCATGATGACGTACGACCTTATTTTGAAAGGATGAATATGGGCCCTTAGATTGCGACCTCTCCGTTTCCCGCCCTATTTTATCACCGTCTGATTCGGGCAGGATTCCCTTGTCGTTGGATTTTAAGATCTTCATCCAACGGTCAGGGTAGAGGATGTCCGTTCCTTTAAATACTCTCTACGAACTTGAGAGCCATTTTTTCAAAACTTCAAACCCTCTTCGTACCTGTTGGACTGCCGCCTTCTTCGTCGGAATCCTTACTCTCCAACCTCTGGTTCGTGCTTCTTGCTCTTCGAGGCGTATCGCGAAGCCGTTCTTTCTTCAAGACTTTCCCGAGAATCCTTCTTCACCGGTAAGCCTTTCCACCCTCGGTATGCTTTTCTTACTTACGGGCCGCTCCTCTCCTTTTGTTTGAACCATGTGTATATGTATAAAAAATGTGTGGAATGTAGAACTTAGGGAGACTTACTTCATTTTGTTTTTCCGCATTGGATAGTTCTGTCCCCATCTCTTTGTTGTATGCGCGCTTCTGGTTTCTGGGTTCTAGGGAACCTAGAATTCTATGAGCACTCGCCGTTACCATTCTCATATGACTGGTCGATGTCAAGTTGAGGCGTTTGCGTAGTCATCGCTTAGAAGCCATCCTTTCTTCCTCTCGACGTTAGGCTTTTAACTTAGCTTATTGTCTTTTTAATCACCAGAACAATGGACCAAAGTTCCCCCAGTCGAGAGGATTCTCCTGTCGTCCGTCCAGACCCTTCTTCTGTGGTGGAGATCTCATGGTCTTCTTTGTCTTCCAGCGTCGACTCCGTGCTGGGCGACACTGAAGATATCAGAGAAAGATATGAACCGGCCGACGACTTCAGAAGTGATTTCGGCAGCGTCGAACGGTTTCTGGACGAGATAGTTGAGCGGATCCCCTTCACCGGGGGTAGAGTAGGCGGGGTGGCTGCCTCGACAGTAGATGCTCCCCTGGCTGCCACGAGTGGTGAGCCAGATAGGCCTTTCTTCACAGCCGACATTGTGGCGTCAAGGGTTTGGAACAAGGATATCATCCGGGCTATGAAGGAAGGATACATCGACGGGAGGTGGTTCGAATACCTTCTCCCAGACATGCATTTTAGAACCAGCATGCCGCCGACCGGATACCTTCCGGTCTATACTAGAGCGGTTACGGCGGGGATGACCCTCTCAGTTCATCCCTTTGTAAAGGACTACTGCCATTTTTATGGCATTTCCCCCGCTTAGCTAGCGCCGAACTTCTGGTACTGCTTCGCCGGTGCCTGGATTTTATGGCACCAGCAATTCGATATGGAACTCCCTTTGGATGAGTTCCGATTTATGTACAAGCTATGCCACGTCGCCAAGTGTGAGGGGTGGTATTTTTTGAATGGTCACGGGAGGTCTCAGCCCAGATTTGGGAAGC